AAAAAAAAAAAAAATACGTGAAATGTTGACTAAAATAACCACAAGTATAGCACTGATCAACAGACATGAATAGGTCAAGAGCTACAATTAAGGTAACTCAAGGAAAGGAGAAACAAAGGGAACACACACACACACACACACACACACACACACACACACACACATTTTATTTTTATTTGTGAAATTCAGAGTGTATTTATAAAGAAAGAAAATTCTAGTCTTCCCTTGGAGAGACTTTAACTTTCTGGGAAAGAAATACCATTAGTTAAAATCATGAACTATGAACCAATGGCTGAGGGGCCCCCTCTGAATGGGTAAGACAGTTGATTGGCTTGATCTGTTTGAGAGGCATCCAGGCAGTGGGACCGGGTTTTGTGCTCATTGCATGAGTTGGCTGTTTGAAACCTGGGCTTATGCAGGGTCGCTTGGCTCGGCCTGGGAGGAGGGGACTGGACCTGCCTTGACTGAGTCTACCAGGTTGACCTCAGTCCTTGGGGGAGGCTTTGTCCTGGAGGAGGTGGGGATGAGGGGTAGGCTGGCGGAAGGGGAAGGGGACAGGAGTGGGGAGAACAAGGGAATCCATGGCTGATATGTAGAACTGAATTGTATTGTAAAATAAAATAAAATTTAAAAAAAAAAAAAAACATCATACTCCTATCAACAGTGTTAACTAGAAAAGGATACCACAATGTCTGAAGCAAAATCAGTTACAACTTAGAATTGTAGAGCAGTTTTATTACCAAATATTGAATGCATCCTTTAAAGTATATTTTATAAAATGCTTCTTCAAATTTTTCCTTTTAACCAGCATTTACTGGTAAAAGAAGGAATAGATATATGCAGGCAGAATGTGCACAAAGTCACACAACCTGACCCAAACCACCTACTATGTCCCAACTGTTAAATAACTTATACCTAGTAGTAAGAGGTTATCACCTGTAAATTCATCAAAACGCATTAGAACAAGAAAGCACATGGGCATATGGAAAAGATAATAGAAATGAAACAGGTCTAAGAACTTATGGAACATCTCTTACTGAAGAGGTGTGCAAAACCCTCACCTGCACTCCACAAAGAAGAAACACCCAATTCTGTAGTAGCGATAGCTCTTCTAACCTGATATCTGACCATTCAGAATTTTGGCAAGGTATGAACTTGCAGAGAACATCTGACTGTCCAAAGGACTTCTGCTCAGTCCCTACTAATAACTTGGCCCACTTGATTTGCTCACTGTCCACTTGTCTATTACTCCATCCAGTCCAGATGCTGAACCTTGCTTTCTTGATCCTGTATCCTACAGTCCACCTCTAAAGTGTCGATTCAACATTTAAGGCCCAACTCAACCCTAAAGCTTTCCAACTACCACCCTTAACATCTCAACTAACAACTGTCTTAGGATCTGAATATAGCAGTGAACAAAATAGTTGTAGCTTGTGACTTTGTCATGATTCAATAAATTTTGCTATTGTGGAGAGATACAAATATCCCCACCCATATTTCTGGCATAGCCCAATTATGGCAGGGTTCCATTCACTAAAAATTAAACAACAGACTTCTCTAGTTTGCTTTTTATTGCTGTTATAAAACCCCATGACCAAAAGCAATTTGGAGAGGAAATGGTTTATTTCAGTTTAGAGTTGTTCTCCATCATAAAGAGAAGTCAGACCAGGAACTCAAGTTCAGAACATTGAGGGAGTAACTGAAGCAGGGCCTATGGAAGAACACTGCTTACTGGCTTGCTTTCTAAGCTCACATTCAGCTACGTATCTTATAATTCTCAGGACCACCTGCCTAGGGGTAGCACTGTTTGCAGTGGCCTTGGCCCTCCCACATCAATCATCAATCAAGAAAATGCCCCACAGATTTGCTACAAGCAAATATGATGGAGGTATTTTCTCATTTGAGGTTCCCTGTTTCCAGATGATCTATGTTATGTTGACAAAAATCCTAACCAGCACACAGGCTGTTGGCAAAATAATTGGAAATATACAAAATTTTGTAAAACAATTTAGTAACGTAAACAAAAATCATTTGTACCAAACATTGTTGACAAAAACTAAGCTTGATCTTCAAAACTAAGGCTTGGCTCATACCACAGTGAAATCTTACATGCTCCAAGGTGAAACAAGGCTCAGATGTGGAATGGAGGGAAGCCTTCTTCTACCCATGCAGGTCAGAGGTCAAATGTAGAAGAGCAGTGAAGTCATATAGCCGTCACCATGAAAGATCTCAATTCCCAAGGAATGAACTGTCAAAAGTAAATAATAGAGCAAGAGGAAAAAGAGAAGAAATATTAACTACATGTAATACATCTATGGTTGCTCATGTACAAGATAGTCTATAGTTTTACACTATAGTAAAATTTGAGACATTAAATTATGAAGAACTAAAAAAAAATCTAAGTGCAAGTAATGCAAGATCCATATTTGAACTATGGGTAAACAAGATTAACATTGTATTTTCTTGAGCAAGGTGCATGATTACCCTGTATCTCATCTTTCATAAATTCAAAAATGAGATTACAATGCAGATTCTTAGGGTGGGAGACATTACTCAGCAGGTAAAGAGCATTGGCTGCTCTTTTAAAGGACCTACATTTAGTTTCTAACACCCACAAAGTGGCTTACTACTCTCCACAACTCTCGTTTTAGGGGATCCTTCACCCTCTTTTGGTTTCCATGCGCACTCCACTGTAGCTAGAGTTTTCCTGCCTTGCCTACAGTCAGGACAAATCTTTGTCATCCGCCAGTCCCACAGCTGCTCAGACCCAACCAAATAAACACAGAGACTTATATTGCATACAAACTGTATGGCCGTGGCAGGCTTCTTGCTAACTGTTCTTATAGCTTAAATTAATCCATTTCCATAAATCTATATCTTGCCACGTGGCTGGTGGCTTACTGGTGTCTTCACATGGTGCTTTTCATGGTGGCAGCTGGCAGTGACTCCTTCTGCCTTCCTGTTCTTTCTTTTCTCCTCCTTTTCTTCCTGCCTACCCACTGGCCAATCAGTGTTTTATTTATTGACCAATCAGAGCAACAGATTTGACATACAGACCATTCCACAGCACTCCACACATGCAGTGCACAGATATCAATGCAGGCAAAACACCAATAAAAATAAACAAGCAGATAAAATTCTCTTTCATCATAGAAAATAATGATATTTTACTTAATCTTCAAACTTGTTGTAGGAATGCCTCCTACCTTCACAGTTTGATGTACTATTTTAATCTATGTGACCAAAAGATACATTTAAAAAAAAATAGGAACTTCTGAGTGTGTGCTTGTGTATTAAATCTGGTCAGTCCATTGATTTATACTATTTCAGTGCTATGTTTCCATAAAAGAATTGTCTCCTATATGCAACAAACAACAACACTAGGAATGAGTTACTTCAGAGTATTCAGACACATTCAAAGTGTAGTCTAATTGCATTTATTTTTCCACAAAGGGTTACAAGCAAATTATTCCAGTGAACAACTGGTCCTCATAATCTTGTAACAATTATTAAAACATTTTGTACTTTAAATACATCATTTTTCTTGAATCCCCTGTAGTCTGTAAGACAGAATGGACTTCATCATATGAGTTGCTAAGTATTCAAATGGCTGTATGGGGATAGTATACAAGCATATCAATTATGTTAACAGAATTGACCAGCTAGAAGAATTACAAGGATATCTTGTTTCAGACAGACCTGATGTGATTGTAAGTAAGCTAATTTGGCTTCACCTTAAACATTGCAGCATCTTTTCAAAGCAAGTCCCCTTGCCGCTCTTTTACACTTTAATTACTTCTTTAATCGACTCATTAGTTGATTAACTTATCACTCCTGGCAATAAGTACCTGTTCTAAGTAGGGGGGAGCTAATTGAAGCACTGGTCTCTGAATGCTTCCTGGCTGCATCCCAGCAGCTGGTTACTCAGTTTTTCAGATGACCGAGGAACTTCAAGCCCCACACATTAAATATCCCCAGAGCAAACTATACTGCCATTATTTGTGAAATTCTTTCCCAGTGATTTTCACTCAATCTTTATTATGTGCAGTACTTGGCTAATCTTCTCCTTTTCTTACTTAAGGGCCAGTCTTACCACAAGAACCTTGAATTCAGGTAAGGTCCTTTATCAAAATGTTGTAACCAGCAACCACTGTGTATGCTGCTATTTATGACTATCATTCATTATTTTACATACAGGAAAGTTATTGGGTAACTAAGAGAAAGGAAAAAGGAGTATACTGGATCTTACGAGAAAAAAAAAAGAACATGCTATTCTATGTAATCTTGTACAGTAAAAGGATAGAGGCCTCATGAAGAAATTATGTCATATCCTACAGGGTTTCTTGATCCCTCTGATATTTTACTTGATTCAATTATGTTGGTCATAATTTTGACATGTCCCACAAAGAGACAATAATGCAGCACAAAATGAGGAAGCAATGTATCAAGTGATAACACGCTCATACTCATAACTCAGTTAGTGAAGGATTTAGACTTTACTCAATAGTTAGCAGCAATTAACAGAGATAGAAAAGAGGAGACTGAATAGCAACCAACACTGCAAGTAAAGCCAAGGTCCCTTTGTTGAGCAGAAAGAATTTCTCCTCTGAGGCCAGAAATCTTTCCCATATGACCAGAAGAAGCTTTTTCTCAGGTAGTTCCCTAGAGAATACCAAAGATTGGAAATCACTCCTTTTCTCTTCCTGTTTAGTTTTGATTGAAATGTAATGAGGCAAAAACAAACTGCTAATAAACCAGAATTGGAGTAATTAATGAACAGTAATCTTTATATCTTCTACTCTATTTAATTTAAAGGCTTCATGGTGCTATAATGAAGGCATTGAGGTAACTATGAGTGTTCATAGGGAATAACATGAAGCAGTGAGGGGTAATGTTCCTGGCTCCTAATGGAAAAGAGACTTCGAGGGAGAAGGATGCAAGTTGTGACATGAATCAACTAGATTCATGAGCTCTGCACAGACTGCCTCACAAGGTAACCTGAAAAAGAAAAACACCATGTATAGACAGCCTACTCAGTACCAAGGCTCTGTTAGTCCTGTAATAACTGCAGAAATTGATCTTACTTCAGACTCAAAGCAATATTAGAATATTTACTCTCATTGTGTGAATCTCAGAATTCTCAAATATCTTCAGATCATCCTCTAGTGTGATGCCTAACGATAGAGATATCTTTTCTTATGCATGTAAAAACCAAAACAGTTTTACTATTCAGAATTTTCATCAAAAGAGGTGGAAGTAGCTACTCATTTGACATTTCAGTGCATTCCCACATACTTGATGAAAACAACAAAATACTGGTGGGCAGCAGAGTTCTATTTTCATCTTAGTTTTCCTATGTATGATTATAAGCAAGACATAATGCACAACCTCTTGTTTTGTAATATAATATGAAACGTTATGTAGTTCTAGCAGCTGGCTGCACTTATATAGCATTATAAATAAATACTTAATATATTTCTCTATAAGAAATATTAATGGAAACTGGAAATAAAGTGTGGTTAATAGGGAAAAGACATAGTATTTAAGCTTGTGTTATAATACTTTCCAATTTGAAATTTATTCACTAAATCAACATGCTCTACTGAACTCTTGGTTCAATAATGCAAAAATGCACTATGCATTACTAACCAGAAATGTAGTGATAAGTAAGAGACAGGATTACTGCTCCAATTTATTCTGAAGATGGTTATACAGGAGGGTTTGCAATGGGAAGAAAGTCACACAATATACAGGTAAATATACACGTTTAGAGAATGGCAGGTAACAGGAGTCTTGAATATCTTCTCCATGTGTGATAAGAATGTTGACAGAGGCAGCCATACAAAAGTATGGGTTAATTTGAGTGTACAGCCATGTGATTATCCTTCCAGTCAAGGGTAAGAACAAAAGAAAAGAGGTAAGAACTTGAAGAGTTGGGATGCTTTGAGAGAATGAGTGAAGCCAGAAGGCAGAGCACACTGGCTTAGGAGGTCATTGTGAGGGGGAAGCTTTTTCTCTTTATTGTACTTGGATTGATGCATTTGGTGGTATTGGTGTAAATTTATTATATGGAATATCTGTTCATTTATACAGACAGCATGTTTAAGGGTAATTAATTGACCCCTAAACAGAAATATGTATTAGTTTTATATTTATAATATCTAAATTTGGTATAGCTGTGGTTGATATATTGTGTACACCAATAAACTTATCTGGGGATCAGAGAAGAGAACAGCCATTATATTAAACATGGAGGTTAGGCAGTGGTAGAACATGCATTTAATCCTAGCTGCACGTGGCCAGTTGTGATGGCTCATAGTGGTAGGATTTACTTAAGGAGTCAAAGGCAGGAGAACCCCGAGTTTACAGCCAGCCTGGAAGCCTAGCTGAGGAGAAGCTGTGGCCAGGGCCAGGCCAGACCACAAACAGGGGCAGCAGGACCGTGGAGGTGGCTCTGCATCGCCAGCTGTTTCTCATCATGTTACAAGAGAGCATCAGCAGAGGTCAGTTTGGAGAAGTTTGGTGAGGCAAGTGGTGGGGAGAAGTTGCTGTGAAGATATTTTTTCTAGGGAAAAATATTTATGGTTCTGAGAGTCAGACATTTATCAGACTCTGATTGCTCCAAATCACAGAGGAGACCCCTCAACAACAACAAAAAAATTCTGCAGGGAATCATGACATGCCTAACAGTGACTTTGAAATCTCCAAAAGGATGATGGGATCCCACAACAAAGATTCCACATTGACAATAATAATACCGCTAAGCTGACAAACATCACCCAAAGATCATCTTTGGACTACAAACTGCTCAGGACCATTTCAAGATGGCTAACTGATATGATCCAACCTCACAGAATGTTTGAGCAAGGACTTGAGATAAGCCCTGCACTTTTGCATTTTGCAGAGACTGAACAACAAATGATACAGCTACCTCTCCAAGGATTTGACAATTAACCCAAAATTTTTCTTTTCAGGATCTTCTAAATATGCCTTACCCACAAACAGCAGGAAGTAATTTTAAGAACATAATACCCACATTCCCAAGAGGTGGGGCAGGCGGTTTTTGTTCATTTGAGTTATGGATATTGTTATTGTTTATAATGGTTGGTTACAAGTTGTTAATTGTTAATGGTCAGGAAAAAACTAAACAAAGGAGATTAGATTCAGGGTTCTTGTTTAAAAAAAGAAAAAGAAAAAAGAGGATATAGATAAGAGGTAGATTATT